TGAGCCCTGTGAGTCAGAGGGAGGAAGAGGAGGAGGAGGAGGAGGAGTGGTCTGCTGCTTCGGAGATCGTGGTCCAAGTCTGTTTTAGACTTACATGAAAAATACTTGTCATCTTTTTAAATGTTCACGACCAGGGATGCACCGAAACGAAAAAACAAAAAAGAAAAATGGAAGGAACCGTGTGATTCTGTTTTGTTTGCGTAGTTTCAGTGAATTTTTTTTGGGCTGGATATACAGTTTGTCCTTGACCAAAAATCTTCATTTTAGTCGACACATTTTCACTGAACTCGCAAACAAACTAGTACTGTTTTTTTTTTACTTTTCCCCCCACTTTACCACCAGACGTGTCCCGCATGCAAATGCTGACTGAGACAGTGAATTATCACAAGTCAGAAAAAGTGAGAGTCTAGTGAATCTGTGAGTGGTTGAAGCCGTGGTGGAAGTGTAGAAGTCTGCACACGGAGCTGCTACTTTTTACACCGTAGAACTACTACACCAAATGGAAAAGAACTCAAAAAAATTCATCTTTCTCACACACACCACGATCGACTTGGACTGTCTATAAAAAATGGATTTAACTCTTGGCAAACTGTGGGTGCCTGTTCAAATTTGTGAGTCAGTTTTTATCATTTTGACTAAATTGTAACTTAGTCCCAATCAACAAAATATGAAAATCAATATAGTCAACTCCATTTAAATGAGATTTGATCCACTTCAGGTTCAGATAGAACCTACACATCAGAGGCCTACCCTGTGTACTGTACACGTGCACAGTGAGTAAACAAATGCCCACACTGCGTGTCCACGTGGGCCATGTGAACCCACCGCGCACCCTCATACCGGCAGAGTAATTGTAGAAGTAAACAGGCCGAGGACATGAACCTCCACATTTTACCAAAATGTTATTTTTACCTCTAATGTAATACGATCTCCTAATGTGGTCTCTCTGGTTAGACGGCTCTCCAATGTGAATTTCGTAATTGATTTTTTACCCAGCATGCACCGTGTCAAATTATTATGCAGGTGCAGGGAGTTATTTATACACCACATGTCACTGTTGTTCAGTAGTGTGGCCCTCTGCTGGAGAGGACCACTGTGTCTCTGCGTCCAGCCGAGTATTTACACTTTTTTAGGTGCAGTTGCTTTAAATATATTTAAATAGACAAAATATTACATATAATGAAGAAGTCACTTGCCACATAAATGATGACTGATGTCCTTTGCAACCGGGTTGTAGCCAGCATTTTTAGATGGACTTGCATCCCTTAATTAATTTAATAAACAAAAAAAAAAGACATACATAACCTTTTTATATTGTATTTAGTACAAGGCTGTTCAATTAATATACAATATATATATTTATGTTTTTATATTGAAAAAATTAAAAAAAAATTGAATAGATTTTTGTAATAGTAATCAACCAAAGGTTTTACACCTCTACTTCGGTATCCTGTCAAACCGTATCCACGAATGCTTTACCTGCCATTGTCCACTGGGCTGTGTTGTTTATTTTATTCATGTTGTTTTTTCTGTTGGTTGTCAGGGATGGCATCTATTACCAGTTCCCAAAATGTGTACAGATGTCAGAAAATCCACTCTGAATGTGACTACTGGTTTTATAGACCAGTGTTTCCAGTGTTTTTTTTTTAATCGAGGCACATTTTATATCATCAGGAAAAACTCTACGTCACACCACTAAAACAGAAATCTCACAAAAGTACAGTTTATGTAATAAAATATAATAATCTTCTGGTTTAAATGGCCTCATAATTGACTATAATCTCAGCCTGTTTAGTTGAAGACAACGCTGATATACTGGCAGGAATTGAAGAAAGACACTCACAGAGATCTTCTTCAACAGCTCTGATTATCTTGTTTTAAGTTTTCACATGGCTACGCTGCCACCTAGCAGAAGAGCATTTAATTGTTGTGCCTTTTCACGCTTTGACGAGCAAAGAAAAATGATATGCCATAAATAAATAATAGTTTTCAGTCACGGTGTTTGGGGATCACTGTTATAGACCACCTCCCTGTATGAAGTGATTGTGTTCCTCTGGAGTTGCCAGTTTAGATCAGTGCAGTGTTCAGCTGCAGAGCTTCTATCACTGACTGCTGTTTTTCCCAGTGTCCTCCACCACTCTGACTGTAGCTGCGCTGCGGTCTCACTGCTGCCATCATTTACAATTTCTGTCAGCGGTTCTGAACACTCTCTGTCTTCGATGTGGCCTCAGAGTGAAGACGGAGCAGACCATGACAGCGCAGAGGAGGCGACGCCAGCGAGCCCCCACAGCAAGCGCAGAGTGGGCCGTCCCGGAAGGAAACGCAAACAGCTGCTTCCTGTGAGTGCCGTAATTATAGCCCGTCGCTGGGAGTTTTTTTGTTTTTTTCTGTGTACTTTTCATCTGTTCTCCTATAGAACGTTTCCACTCTCCAACCTGTCCTATCACACACACTCTTTGACTCAGTCACATTAGGCCGCAGGTACCTCATATACCATGTGTAATTTCATCCTCAAGCAGTGATTTATGTTGTAAAACGTTCTCAGCAGCACTTTGTGTTTCTGAGGGGAATTCCCATTGACTGTGTTGACTGAGTGGTTGCAGGACTTGACATGTTGGTTTCAGTTTCTACTCCTTTTCATTTTTCTGCTTCATATATTTTTTTATTTTTTATTTCTTTAATTTGTCAGTACACTTGACATTTTCCGCTCCCTCTCGCTGCCATTTCTGTGATTTAGGTCGCGGTGGAACAGACCAATAAGTCATTTTTAGCAGCTAATGGGAATTCACCGTCTGATGTAATCGCCAAAAGAGTATTAAATCAAAACCCGCATTTTGCCCAGAAGCAAAAAGGAAAAAAAAAAATCATAATGATTTCTATAGTAGAAAACCTATGTCTCACTCAGGGTGTTGTAAATTCAGAAGCAGAAGAGGAAGAAAATGAATAATTCAGGGGACAGATACTCTGTGTGAAGGTGTTCTCTGAAATATCTGACATCCACACAGCTACTGCTGTTGTTTTTTGTTCTTACCTTCTTTGGTGAAGGTCAGGTGAAGCTGGAGGCTTCGGCTGCCGTTGTTTGGTCTGCTGTTAAAAACCTTTATCTGCGGCTGAACATCTCAGGTTTGAACTTTTCAAATATAGATGAACCCACTCCACTATATGTTTAGAAATACAGAGCTGAGGGGGTGATATTTTTGTATCGATTCTTCTACCTCTAATCGTTAGAAAATTAGATTAAATTAAGTTAGAACAAAAAACTAAATAATTCACAGTTTCAGTGTTGAATCAAAACCTATTATTTTTCATGTTCCTACTTTCACTACTTGACGTGTTTGGACAGGGAGTTCCCGTCTTCCATAGAGTATTCCAGACACTAAATTATTCCCACCTGAGTAATTAGAACAGATTAAATAAAATTTAAAAACACACTCCCTCACACACTTTAAAACTCTTACGAGCTGTAAGGAGATTTAAATAATCATTTGAGTTCATTATATGCACATCCTCTCTTTAATCCTCCTGCCGTGTCCAGGCAGCGGGTGGTTAGTCCTAACGATGAGGAGGAGACTGAAATGCGATGACTAAGCCAAATTAGAATGAAAACTAAACGTTCTCTTAGAAAGGAGTGCGTAAAAGAAGATTTCAACTTTAGATTTTCCCAGTGGTTTTCTGGCCAATCTCCTGACAGAATCATTATTGATTATTGGTTTAACTTCATCTGGTCTAGTTGGTTTTTACACTTCCACCGAGGGTGAATGTGTTGTTGCGTCATGACAGAAGCCGTGGTGACGCAACACAGTCACCTTGCGCGTACTTTCTGAGGGATTTGAACTGGCAACCTTCCAGTCACCTCTAAACCTGCAGTAATTATTTTTTGCTGCATTATTACCGTAAGTGTTTCTCTGTGACTGACTCCAGGTCTTTGGCATCTCGTCTGCTCTCTTTCATTCATTCTCTCGCTTGTACCGTGTGTGTGTGTGTGTGCGCGTGTGTGTAAATGAGTGCAGCAGAGCGAGGCAGATTCTGCTTTGATGTCTGCAAGTTTAACACCATCCTGTCCAGAGCAGAACGGAGCAGAGCTACCGTAATACACAGTGTAGAGCTGAGGTGTGTGTTCTGATTTTAGTGACCACGACTGTAGAGAGTAGATGTGTTTATATATGTATGTAGCAGACAGTACCAATCTGCATTTCTAGTACAGGAAAGTCATGCCATATATTTCCTAATAAAGGAGCACTTGCTTTTTTGGTTGCTTTTGTGCAACTGTCTCTAATGAAATACTACATTTCTGGTTTTATTCCTTTGAATATTCTGTATTAATAGTAGTTTTGTGGTCGTTGTTGTAGGTATAACCATGTGTCTCCACGCTCTAAAACCATATTTTTTTTCTTTACTGCTACCACTGTTGTAGTATTGCAGTGCTGGGCTCTGGTTTTTTGCTGTGGCTCCTGAGAAAAAGCCAGGATCCTGACAGAAACACACAATATTGGTTGCAGCTACCATGCTTCAAAAACTTCTGTTCTTCTCATCACGCCACTGCACATTTCATACATGCTTTTGGGAAACAAAACAATTTTCTGCAAAGTTTCAATGATCTTGGAAGCTTCATGTTACGTTTTGTTAGTCTTTCCCGTACTCCGCAGCCGTGAAGAACACAAAACATTTGTTACGTGTAGTTAGCCATCGGAATTTGGCAGAAACTCCTGTAGGTTTTTGAAATTGGGTTTGGCCTCTGCTGAGTGTTTTGGATGGACCTTCAGGTTTAAGTAACGACACAGTCCAGCCGTGTATTTAATGCTGTCTGTACTGTGTACTCTGGTACTCTGTACTCTCTGGTGTACTACATTATGCCTTTTTTTTTTACTGTGTTTGAGGTTTGGCCAGAGTCACTTATTTGATGTCAGCTTCGTGACATTTGTCAGAATGAGAATTTTGTTTATGGAACGTCTATTTATATGTCGTTTTTGCCGACACTTGGTTAAATGATATGCATTTGCAGTACTGTGGTATTTTAATGGCAGCTCTGTATGTGCCTGTACATGCTTGTACTTAAAGATACTACAGTAGTGTTGGCAGAATCAGAGGTATTGTGAGGAGCTCAGGGTGGAGCTGTGACTGACGTTAACTACAGGGAGCAGAAAAGGATGACGGAGAATCAGGGTTTGCTCCTTCACTTCACTCCTTCAATCACCTCCCCTGTCACTCACACACACACACACACACACACACACACAGCCACGCAGGACTGTTCCACAGATTCAGTGCCTCTGATTTTTTTGGCAGCTCTTTAGTTTTTCTTTCGTCACTCCGTCCCTCACTGTAACTTCAGGCTGTTTCTCTCCTTCTGTTCTTTGCTTTTGGTTTGTCTCCACATTTTTTTGACACTGGCAGCATGTGTGCAGCAGCTGGAGGAGTTTATACGTGTGTGTGTGTGTGTGTGTTTAAGAAACGAAGGATGGAAGAGATTCTCTGCATTGGGGCATTCAGCAAAATTTTGTAGATAAAATACATTAAAATATGTTTATATTTTATTTGAAAAGGTAAACTTTGAATGCACAATAATACACAGAAATATAAAAATCTTCTTCTTCTCAAGGTTTTATTACTGACAGTTAGATAACAATCGTCTTCAGGCCAGAAGATAATATTTTTTATATTTCTGTTTTGCGCTGAGATCCTGAAGAGACTTTGGCAAAATCTGCGTTTTTGTTCCCGGTGTTTGACAGAAAGCATAAAAAATGACTTTCTTACACAAAACAACTTGCTTTTTTTTCTGTTTGTTTTTAATTTTTTTTTTATTTTACTGAGGAAAATTCAACCCAGAGTTTTCATAATGAACAGAGAATATTCCATCATGTTTCCATTTCACCAGGTGCTCACAAACTTTAAAATCAAATTTACTGCCGTGTTTACTTTCCAAATGATCTTAAAATCATTTCCCAAACCAAAGATTTTTTTTTTTAAATTTAAAGATGATTAACTCAAAGTCACTTATAAAACAGATAAAAAAAGGAAAACTACAGACAGGGGGCAGTGTCCCTGCAGTTCCACTGTGGGGATTAGCTCTGGTCTCCGGCTTCTACCGAGACACTGTTTGTGCTTCAGTATAAACAACATCAGAGCCGTCATCACATAAATCCACCGTGGTGCAGTTGTTTGCTGTATTGAGTTTCCTCACTATTTTTTTCTGGCACAATTGTTTAATTGTCTCCTCCATCCTGTTCCCTGCTCAGCCTCACCCAGGGTTTCCAACCTAAAGAACATAACTGTACTGTTTCATTTGATTGTTTTTTTGTTTGTTTTTTTTTTGTAAGTGTGCGCACAGCGAAGTGCAGGTACTTTCCCAGGAAGTACAGGTCAGACGAGAGAGGAGAAAGTTAGAAAAGTGACAGTGATGTCGTCAACACTAAAGGTTCAACACCTAAAGCTGCATTAAGCTTTGCTTCAAACGTAAAACCAAATAGTCAGTGAAAGTAGTGACACGAACTAAACAGACCTGAGCTCACTGAGGGAAGTGCAAGTCTGCGTCACGTTGGTCGGGTGTGCACTTCCTGTTCTTCTCTAAATGGCGGAGATATGAAGAAACTGAATAGTGGCGAACAAAACCAAAGACAGCGGGTTCATTTTGATCGGTCGAGAGTCTGCCGAACCAAACTAAATCGAATTTTACACCCGACATGTGACCAAAAAGATGACTGCAAGTCCAGATCCCTGTGTCTCTGCTGAAATGTGTAAGTAGTAAATTGTTTGCTTCCATCATTGAAAATGATGCAGAAAAATTCATATATAGTGAAGAAATAAAAATAACAAAAAAAAAAGCAAAGCTTAATGCAGCTTTAGTTTCATGATATGACGATGAGACGAAAGTTAAGGCTAAACGTTCCTCTTTAGGCCTAATGTTAGTTTCACATGTGCGTAAGTTACATACCCTGCTGTATGTTTTTATATTTATTTGATTTATTCGCTTGAATCGGCTTTGTCATCGCTTTGATACATGCCATGCTTTGC